AGTAGTAGTAGTAGTAGTAGTAGTAGTAGTAGTAGACGAAGAAGAAGAAGAAGAAAAAGAAGTAGTAGCAGTAGTAGTAGTAGTAGTAGTAGTAGTAGTAGTAGTAGTAGTAGTAGTAGTAGTAGTAGTAATAGTAGTAGTAGTAGTAGTACGAGGAGGAGGAGACAAGAAGAGCAGCAGCTGCAGTAATAACAGCAGCAGGAGCAGTAACAGCGGTAACAACAACAGCAGCAGCAACAGCAGAAAAAGAATAAGAGAGAACGAACAAACAAACTTTATTTTCAAAGGGTTAGGAAATGGGCACACAGGCCCGTTTTACATTCTGCCTTTCTAGCCTCGCGCCATGCATACATTATTGGTTTATACATTGTTTTAGCAGATAATAATAATAATAATAATAATAATAATAATAATAATAATAATAATAATAATAATAATAATAATAATAATAATAATAATAATAATAATAATAATAAAAGTATTAATAAGCATCATAAACAACATCTTTGTAACAATGTGCTCTTAGTATGCCTACATTTTAAAACAGACAACAAGCTCATGAAATCCCCTTTGATGACTACTTTCACGAGCAATTCGTTACTTCTATTTGTACGCACTCTCAAATCTCCACTAACGTAACTTCATCAAAACAATATTGATTTTACTTCAACATAAACCTCATAGATGCGCTAGGCGCCATTAGCAAAGATCAATGCCAGACAAGAAATAAAAAGATGCGAGTAATTGCTTGAATACACATGCTCAACGAGGGCAAATGATGTGTTGTTGCAGTATTGCAGTATTGTTTCTTTATTGAGTCGTTAACAAGATGGCTGTGGTTTTTTTGTGTGAGCTCTGCCTGCGTTTAGAGTGTATCGTCGCCGTGTCATAAATGCCTGCTATTCTGAACATGATATGAAGGAATGGACTCGACATCTTCGTAGACAAAGTAAAGGACCCTTTTCCACGCCTTTAGGCGTATAAGGCATATAAGGCTAGACCTATATTTTTTTTACAGACCTCGGCACAAGATGGGTGATATGGTCAGCATCACGCCGGAAATCTTTGTAACGACTGGCAAAACTGATGAAACCAGAGCAAGAGGAAGTCAGTGATACAAAAACCTGGGTGGATTAGCAATATGGATTGGGGAAGGGGGAGGGGACAAGAACACTGACTCGATTCGTGATTCTCGTAATAGTGTGAGATAGCGAAATATCACAGCCTATGCATGGTATCTGGGCACATGATGATAGCGATTCGAAGCGGCCGCTTGTATGAAGGGTGTGACAAAAGAACTAATGGGAAGGTAAGAACAAAAAAAATTCAAGAGAATCAATACTGGAGGAAAAGATGACAGCAAACTGGATGAAGCGAATGTGCGGAAACGCTCTTGCATTGGAATCCACAGGACTACAGAAATAAAAGGAGATTTTAACACACAAAAACCATACCCACATAACACAGAGAAATAGAGAACAAAATCAAGGTAAAAACGACAGGATCGACTTCAATGCAGCGAGTTTTTCCCCCATAAGGCTCAGTTTCTCTCCGCAGAACAGCTAGCTACCTTTCGAGAGCGTCGCACAAAGAACGACCTCTGTACCTCCGGCGACGATCCCGATAGGGATCTCCTTAAAAAATTGCACACTTGAACTGAGAAATCGAAAAAATAGTATGAAGTAATTAAAACTAAAATGGCATGAGACGCGAATTGTAAACATGTCGCCTGCATGTTCGGAAATTACTTCTTGTCTCTGCATCAATGACAGCAAATGATCTTTGTTTCCTGCCTTCTTTCTGTTTCCACCTTCCCGGCTGCTACCCGAAGACAAATCTCAGAAACGTGTTCAACCTCTAAAGAAGGGAGATTTGGGACACCCTTAACAGCTACTGGAGCCTTGTGTAAACTGCAACCCTGTGCGGTTTAGGATTCATTTATATTATTAAGTGACTGGTTTGTATTGTTTACCCATTTACCTCAATATGAGATCGATCGATCGATTAGCCCCTTCCAGCTGCTGTCTAAAGTTTTATCATACCATCACAATATTTAAAAAAAAAAGAATTCTTATCTAGATGACTGACCAGCAACGCAGATATTAGATACCCTGTTTACTCTCAAAGATATTAGATACCCTGTTTACTCTCAAAGATATCAGATACCCTGTTTACTCTCAAAGATATCAGATACCCTGTTTATTCTCAAATATATTAGATACCCTGTTTACTCTCAAAGATATTAGATACCCTGTTTACTCTCAAAGATATCAGATACCCTGTTTACTCTCTAAGATATTAGATACCCTGTTTACTCTCCAAAGATATTAGATACCCTGTTTACTCTCTAAGTTATTAGATACACTGTTTACTCTCCAAAGATATTAAATACACTGTTTACTCTCCAAAAATATTAGATACCCTGTTTACTCTCTAAGATATTAGATACCCTGTTTACTCTCCAAAGATATTAGATACCCTGTTTACTCTCCCCAGATATTAGATACCCTGTTTACTGTCCAAAGATATTAGATACCCTGTTTACCCTCCAAAGATATTAGATACATTGTTTACTCTCCACAGATATTAGATACACTGTTTACTCTTTACAGATATTAGATACCCAGTTAACTCTCCAAAGATATTAGATACCATGTTTACTGTCCAAAGATATTAGATACCCTGTTTACTCTCCAAAGATATTAGATACACTGTTTACTCTCCAAAGATATTAGATACACTGTTTACTCTTCAAAGATATTAGATACCATGTTTACTCTCCAAAGATATTAGATACCCTGTTTACTCTCCAAAGATATTAGAGACCATGTTTACTGTCCACAGATATTAGATACCCTGTTTACTCTCCAAAGATATTAGATACCATGTTTACTGTCCAAAGATATTAGATACCCTGTTTACTCTCCAAAGATATTAGATACCATATTTACTCTCCAAAGATATTAGATGCTCTGTTTACTCTCCAAAGATATTAGATACCATGTTTACTCTACAAAGATATTAGATACCCTGTTTACTCTCCAAAGATATAAGATACACTGTTTACTCTCCAAAGATATTAGATACACTGTTTACCCTCCAAAGATTTTAGATACACTGTTTACACTCCATAGATATTAGATACCATTTTTACCCTCCAAAGATATTAGATACACTGTTTACACTCCAAAGATATTAGATACACTGTTTACTCTCCAAAGATATTAAATACACTGTTTACACTCCAAAGATATTAGATACCCTGTTTACTCCCCAACGATATTAGATACATTATTTAGACTCCAAAGATATTAGATACACTGTTTACACTCCAAAGATATTAGATACACTGTTTACTCTCCAAAAATATTAAATACACTGTTTACACTCCAAAGATATTAGATACCCTGTTTACTCTCCAAAGAAGTTATAATTAGTGCACATGTAACGGGTACGCCAGCCTGGTGTAAACTGCATTCGTATGAATGAAGCATGGAGAATCACGCCTGTGTTGCCTTTCAAGCTAATGTCGTCTGTGTTGCCTTCCAAGCTGAAGCAAGTCTGTGTTGCTTTCCAAGCTGAAGCACGCCTGTGTTGCCTTCCAGGCTAAAGCACGTCTGTGTTGTCTTCCAAGCTGAAGCACGTCTGTGTTGTCTTCCAAGCTAAAGCACGTCTGTGTTGTCTTCCAAGCTGAAGGTCGTCTGTGTTGTCTTCCAAGCTGAAGGTCGTCTGTGTTGTCTTCCAAGCTAAACCACGTCTGAGTTGCCTTCCAGGCTAAAGCAAGTCTGTGTTGCCTTCCAAGCTAAAGCACGTCTGTGTTATCTTCCAACCTAAAGCACGTCTGTGTTGTCTTCCAAGCTGAAGGTCGTCTGTGTTGTCTTCCAAGCTGAAGATCGTCTGTGTTGTCTTCCAAGCTAAAGCACGTCTGAGTTGCCTTCCAGGCTAAAGCAAGTCTGTGTTGTCTTCCAAGCTAAAGCACGTCTGTGTTGTCTTCCAAGCTAAACCACGTCTGTGTTGTCTTCCAAGCTTAAGCACGTCTGTGTTGTCTTCCAAGCTCGAGAACGTCTGTGTTGCCTTCCAAGCTCAAGCACATCTAACACGAGGTTAGATGAAATTAAATGTAACATGGTGTGAACATGGAATTAAGAGTGAGTCCGGCAAGGATGGATGTATAAGGAAGAGATTGATGTGTGAGGAATCAGTGTGCTTCGAGAACAGTCAGCATCTACACCTGAAGACATTTATTTCCTGCAGGAGACAAAGCCTCTGTAGCTATGCCTGGAGTATTTTATGGTCGAACAGAGATCAGTATGCAGCTGGTATATAGTTAAAATAAGTAAATTGCAATATGGGAGTCGCTGTGGCGTTGGCGGCTAGACGCACTCCTGTGGAGCAGAAGGTCGTCGGTTCGTGCCCTAAGCCAAACTTTTTCAAAAATGACCTTGACTCCTAGGTCCCCCAGGGGACCAGGTGCAGTCATGGGAAGCAAAGGCGGCCAACCTGATGCCACCTGCTAATTGGTCTATAAAGACATAGGTCTAACCATTATTTCCCAATACGCCTAATGACGTAGACAAGGGTCCTTTACGTATATTATATATTATTATATTATATTTGCTATATAATTAAACTGTCGGCTCTGTGGCTAAGTCGATGCGAACGCTTCAGTTTCTATCCCAGCTGCGGGCTATGCGCCTTGCATTGGTCTCGACAGTGGTATCAAGAAAGCCGACCGTCCAGAAAGCAATAGCAAACTGCTGGACGTAAATTTGCCTAGAAAAACTACACAACAGCCAGGAGCTGTTGGGGTTGGTTCTGCAACGTCCTGTAAAGGATACGCAACTAACCATATAATCAAACAAGAGGCATCACTTTTAATTTATTTTTGTTAGAATCGCATTTTTAATACTAAAACTGAATATTCCTCTGCGTTCAAAGTAGACACATACAAAGAGTAGCTGTATGCGGAGACGTAATGTTACCTAATTGTTACAATGTAATTACATGGAGAAGGGAGTATCGTCTTCTGGGTCATCCATATTTGTAACCAGATCACGTGTGTCGGAAGTTGGCAAACGCCGGAAGTGATGCAATGCACCTGCAGCGGCTAACCGGAAGTCTGGTGCCAAGAACAGGGCCATGGGAATGAGTCCTGACTTCGCAAAGAGCAGCCAGTCAGAAACTGTACCAAGTGGGAGGAGCCAAGCAAGACAAGGAGCTGTAGAACACACCCCTCCTGCCATTGCTGTAGTGATAAGAAAGGCGGGAAGTGGCAAAAGCGATGTTAATACGGTGACTAATGAGAGCACCGAGAGAGGAAGGGCGCTGCACTGTTCTGTATCGTTTTCCAATCGTAGCTGTACACTGGGTGTGGTTAAACTTGTCTTTTCTCGGATCTGTATAAACAAAGTGGGAAATATTAGTTATATTTTAAAACAAATGAATACAACAGTGCATACATGTATTTACTCAAGTGCTTACAAAATGGTTATGTTGGCTTAAAAATGCTGTCATGTTTACTTATCCGTCCATCCATCCATCCATCCATCCATCCATCCATCCATCCATCCATCCATCCATCCATCCATCCATCCATCCATCCATCCATCCATCCATCCATCCACCATCCATCCGTCCATCCATCCATCCATCCATCCGTCCGTCCCGTCCGTCCGTCCGTCCGTCCGTCCGTCCGTCCGTCCGTCCGCCTGTCCGTCTGCATGCCTGTCCTGTCCGTCTGTCTGTCTGTCTGGTCTGTCTGTCTGTCTGTCTGTCTGTCTGGCTGTCTGTCTAGCTGTCTGTCTGTCTGTCCGTCCGTCCGTCTGTTCGTCTGTCCGTCCGACTGTCTGTCTGTCTGTCTGTCTGTCTGTCTGTCTGTCTGTCTGTCTGTCTGTCTGTCTGTCTGTCTGTCTGTCTGTCTGTCTGTCTGTCTGTCTGTCTGTCTGTCTGTCTGTCTGTCTGTCTGTCTGTCTGTCTGTCTGTCTACAATCTTTGTAAATGGAGCAACAGCAATCGCATGCAAATTAACATAAATAAAACTAAGTCTATGCTTATAACAACCAGACAAAAGTTGCAAACATTAGTACTGCACAAGCCGACACTCTAGCTCTACATTGATAAATTACCTATTGTTAATGTAACGGAACACAAAACTTTAGGCCTTACAATTGACAACCATTTAACCTGGAATTCTCATGTTTCTGTCATAACTAAGATAATAGCACAAAAAGTTTATCAGCTTGCAAAAATTCAGCACTTTCTAGACGAAGATGCAAGAAAAGTATTTTACGCGTCTTACATCCAAACACATGTCGACTATTGTTCCACAGTTTGGGATGGTTGCGCCAAATCCAATGTTAAAAGACTAAGTTCTCTTCAAAACCGTGCTTTTCGCCTGGTTTCAGATAATAAACAAATTGTAAAAAATAATCTCTATAACCATCTAAGACTATTGCCATTTAGAAAACGTTTAATTTTTACCAAGGCAAAATGTATTCATAAAATTTTATCTTAAAATACTCCAAACTACCTTTTCCGAATAATTAAATCAAATCCTATAAATAGCAAGCGACTAAATTTATTAAATTTACCTAAACCTAGAATAGATTTATATAAAACAAGTTTAGCGTACTCCGCTGCTCATTTGTGGAACCAACTTCCACTAGACCTGAAAAATTCTAAAAGTAACTATTCATTTAACCGTAAACGTTTTCAATGTATACTTACAAGCGATGATATGCCACCTTGAATGTAATGTAACCCATATTGCATTATCAATTTATTATTAAACAAAGTGTGTATGATATGTATGTTTGCGCGCGCGCGTGTGTGATATGTATGTATGTGTAAGCGTGTTTATATACATATGATTCTGAGTATGTTGTTTGTCTGCTTGTGTATCTGCGTGTGTGTCTGCGAATGTACACGTCTGCGCCCTTGTGTGTGTGTGTTCGCGCGTATGTCCACATGTATGTTTCAGTATGAATTGGTCTGTGTGTGTTTCTGTGTGTTTAAGTGTGCCTCTTTGCTGTGTATGTGTGTCTGCGTGTGTGTGCGATCGGATCCATGTAGCTGTGTATATGTGTCTGTGTGTGTGTCTCTGTGTTTGTCTGCATGTGTGTGTGTCTCTGTGTTTTTCTGCATATTTCTTGTGACTGTGTGTATATCTTCGTTTGTGTCTGTGTGTGTCCTCGTATGTGTTCGTCTGCATGTTTGCCTGTGTATGTTTATGTGTTTTGTCTGCGGGTGTGTCTATCAGGCTGTATGTATCTTTGTATGTGGGTGTCTGTATGTCTGTCTGCGTGAGTGTATGTGTCAGCATGTGTCTGTCTGTGTATGTCTATGTGTGTTTCTCTGTGTGTATTGTGTGTGCCCCTTTGTTGTCTGTACGTGTCTGCATGTCAGAGTATATGTCTGTGCGTGCTGAATATATGTATCTGCGTGTGTATTTCTATGTGTCTGTATGTGTATGGATTTCTGCGTGTTTGTCCGTGTGGGTGTCAGATTGTGTTTGTCTGCCTGTTTGTATTTGTGTGTGTGTGTGTGTGTGTGTTTGACTGCGTGTGTGTCTATGTGGCTGTATGTGTGTGTCTGCATGTTTGTCTGCGTGTGTGTGTCTGGTGTGTGTGTAAGTGTGTGAGCACAAATGTAAATATGTGTGCTGTGTGTTTTCCTGTGTGTGTTTATATGTAAGAGTCTGTGTGTGTGTCTGTATTTTTGTCTAAGTGAGCGTGTGTGTCTTTGTGGGAGTGTCTCCATGCATGACTGTATTTATGACTGTATGTTTGTATGTGTGTATGCCTGTATTACGAATGTATGCCTGTATGTTTGTATCTATGTATGTTTGTTTGTATGTATGTATGCCTGTGTGCATGTTTGTTTGTATGTATGTACGTATATATGTATGTATGTAATGTTTGCATGCATGTATGTGTGTGTGAGTGGGTGAGCGTGTGTATGTGGGTGTATGTATGCACGCGCGGGTTTTTGCATGCACTTTACAACTCATGCTTTAGTGTTCTTTTATAATATTCATAATATGCATATTATCATATGATCTTAACATGCTTTATTAGTAAAAATACAACTGCTGTGCGAAAGATGGTTGACTGGAAGGGCCGAATGTAAGACAGGCCTGCGTGCCCAATTTGTGACCCTTTGATCTATCTATCTATCTATCTATCTATCTATCTATCTATCTATCTATCTATCTATCTATCTATCTATCTATCTATCTATCTATCTATCTATCTATCTATCTATCTATCTATCTATCTATCTATCTATCTATCTATCTATCTATCTGCCTGCCTGCCTGCCTGCCTGTCTGTCTGTCTGTCTGTCTGTCTGTCTGTCTGTCTGTCTGTCTGTCTGTCTGTCTGTCTGTCTGTCTGTCTGTCTGTCTGTCTGTCTGTCTGTCTGTCTGTCTGTCTGTCTGTCTGTCTGTCTGTCTGTCTGTCTGTCTATCTATCTATTCTAATATTCTGTCTATAGCTTAACTCATATTTAACACGGACATTCGGTTAGCATTTTACCTAAACATTGTTTTAATATATCGAGTCTTAAAACCCAGTGTATGCTTGTCTATGCGATGTTTAAAAAAAAAAGTATAGCATTGGCCACATTTAAAAGATCGTTTGATGTATTTTACATCCTACTGTAAGCGACATGTTTGCACATAACCAGAGTTACTAACGGTCTGCGTGTCGACCATAGACTAATTCACCTAGAGGACTTTACCTGCAGCACAGCTTTATTAAACATTTTCTGAATTTCATCCTTTACCTTCACGTCTATTTTTCTCTTGTTGTAATTAATTTCCGGTATTCACACGTGTGTTAGAGCTTCAACTGACCAAACAAACACAGTGGGATTTCTCTCGCAGATACCTCAGATAAGTGATTTATATGTAATCTTCTTCGTATTTGCAACACTGTCTATCTGTTAAACGTGTTGATGACGGTTCTCAGGCGTGAACATTCACTTGTTATTTATGTCTGTGACAATGTGAAGCTGACTAGGTTTACTTTTCAGTTGATTTGAAATATATTCCTCATACTGATCGGTCAGAAAGTCATCGAATGGAGCACTCGGTAGTCTGTTTCATAACGTCTGTATTTAAAGTTGTTATTGGTGTTTACACCCCCCCCCCCCCTCACCCACACACACCCTCTCTGATCTCTATTGTTTAAATTAAATTAAAAAAATTAACACATTTTTGTAAAAATTAGCTAATGAGGTTGCGGTAGCACAGAATAGAATTGAATGGAGGAATGGAATACTAGCTCTGTGTGACATAATGGCACAGCGGCACAATGGTGAGGACATAGTTATGAATCCGCGTGACGGATTTATATTTGACATGGATGGTTTAAAAACAACCGGTTCTGTAGACCAATCAAGTGCGCCCGGACTGGAATCAATAGTCACCAGAAATGGCAAACCACGGAGTAAAGACAAATACTTCAAGTTTTTGTCTGACATCGATTTGTACAGTGAACAGACTAGTTTGACCAGCAATATTAGACTTTGGGTTACAGAAGGTCAAGTTTGTTAAAGAATGCAGAGCCGCCTCAAGCTGAATGTCGAGTTTTGTCGGAAAATATATGGAAAATTGTTGAAGATGTCGAGTATTCAATGTTCCGAAACCTAAAAAATAAAAAAAAAAACGACCACAGCGTGTATTGACTATCTGTGGGTTTACTCGACATTGCTACGTTTAACAATGTTTCACTGTTGTTTGGTTACACGCTCATATTGTTACGGACGAAAAATGCAAGCAATTTGCTACCAAGTCGTCTATAAAGTAAGGAACCCTTTTCAACGTCCTCAATCGTATAGTGGCAGAACTGTATTTTATAGATCACTTTTGGTAATAAGGTCACAATCATTCGGGCGCCTTTACTTTGCAGGAATTTATCGGGTACCACTTTAAGACTATGTCGACCAGGAAGCAGAGATCATTTTTGAAAAGAAATTTAAAAATAAAAAGCCTAAAAAAAGGTGCCAGCACTCCGTACCTTTGCATACAGCCAGGGGAAAAAAAAAGCAATTACTTGCTAAAACGTGCTAGTATTTACAACACATCTTCAAGCCCACTGTGTTTGTTTAAACTATCTACTCTGTAAAGGTCGGCTCTGTGGCTAAGTCGATGCGAACGCTTCGTAATGCTGGAATGCCGGGTTCGATCCCAGCTGCGGGCCATGCGCTTTGCGTTAGTTTCGACAGTGGTATCAACAAAGCCGACCGCCCAGACAGCAATGGCAAACTACTGGAAGTAAATTTGTCTAGAAAAACCACACAACAGCCAGGGGCTGTTGGGGTTGGTTCTGCAACGTCCTGTAAAGGATACACATCTAACATGTAACTCTGTAGAGAAGACCAATGGTCAGTACTCTGGGCACTCATGTAGGTGATCCAGTTTTGAATCCTGGGTTTTACTTTACTGTCGGGTGCAAAAATATGAACACTCTAATCTGCACAATACCTGGCGACTGCACTTGTCATGCGGCCCTAAATGCTCTAGTTCAAGATCTCCTGTCCTGTACTGACCTTATACTGATTTTATTAGTAAGTAAAGACACCATTTCCACGCCTTCAGGCACATAGGGCTAGACCCCTATTTTATAGACTAATCTGTTAGGTTAGTTGCGTATCCTTTACAGGACGTTGCAGAACCAACCCCAACAGCCCCTGGCCGTTGTGTGGTTTTTCTAGGCAAATTAACGTCCAGTAGTTTGCCATTGATTCCTGGACGGTCGGATTTCTTGATACAACTGTCGAAACCAACGCAAGGCGCATGGCCTGCAGCTGGGACCGAACCCGGCATCCCGGCAATACGAAGCGTTCACATCGACTTAGCCACAGAGCCGAAAGACTCATCTGTACTTGTTAATAAAATATTTGTTGGAAACCTACGGTTGTACTGTGTGGTCATGTAGACAGAGAAAAAAAGCTTTCTATTTGAATGACGGTTGTAACAATGATCTGCTTACAGCAATGGCCAGCAAGAGCAGCATGCTCAGGGAGGCTGGCAGAAAGTACACCAGCACGTTGATGACGATAGCACCTTCTGAGGCCACCAGAGCTTTGCAGATAACGTTAGGAGCGATGGCAATCTACAATAGAAGGGTTTTATGAGATATTATTAGATATTATATCAACATATTTTATTTAACACATGTTAAATGTTTTTTTTAGAACTTCAGGCAGGACATTCAAAAACGTGACAGCTGTCAAACAGTATACACGAACTCACTCACTCACTCACTCACTCACTCACTCACTCACTCACTCACTCACTCACTCACTCACTCACTCACTCACTCACTCACTCACTCACTCACTCACTCACTCACTCACTCACTCACTCACTCACTCACTCACTCACTCACTCACTCACTCACTCACTCACTCACTCACTCACTCACTCACTCACTCACTCACTCACTCACTCACTCACTCACTCACTCACTCACTCACTCACTCACTCACTCACTCACTCACTCACTCACTCACTCACTCACTCACTCACTCACTCACTCACTCACTCACTCACTCACTCACTCACTCACTCACTCACTCACTCACTCACTCACTCACTCACTCACTCACTCACTCACTCACTCACTCACTCACTCACTCACTCACTCACTCACTCACTCACTCACTCACTCACTCACTCACTCACTCACTCACTCACTCACTCACTCACTCACTCACTCACTCACTCACTCACTCACTCACTCACTCACTCACTCACTCACCCTCTCTCGCACTCTTTCACACAAACACCCCCGCAAGCGTTCGCACGCGTACACACATTAGCATATATACATATTCATAAAACCTGATAAAGGTCACTCTGTCATAATGTGCGATTAATTTTATATTAGGAAGCTGTGTCTGTCGCACCTTTCCACATGTAAGTAGATTCTGTACAAACATCCTAAAAGATCTTGATATCAAGGAATATTGGCTAGTTAACAGCATCTTGTCTGGGACACTGCAATATTTTGGTCACATCTAGTGCTACTGCTGATTAGTAAGAATAATAACAAAAGGCAAAGGGCCAGGAAAGAGGGGCAGGGGTCGAGCAGCGCGAAGATAGGCACAGGACATAAATGACATCTAGGGTAGGAAAGTGCTTAAGACGTGAGCTCTCGGGAGAGATTGAGTTTCTTTCAGGCAGTATGTGATGAGGGCTACGGTCTACAAAGGACATGATACACGAGAATTACAGCATTACATAATTCTCAAGGTCTGATCTCTCCGTGAAGATCTTAACAACTCTCCATATTCTGTTATTCTGAGAAAAATCTGCCACTTTTTTCCTTTATATTATTGTCTCCAAAATGACTTTCCAAATTTAGTACATTCTGTTATATGAAGTACGTCGACCTTAGTTTCTTATTTTTTTGCTTTGTTTCTAGAACGGCTTCCAATTTTTCTGAAGATGCTGTTCTATCTAATAAACTTTCAAATGTTTCTGTATGTGGTGTTATCTCTAGAAAAACTCGCCACATATCTCTATATGCTGTTGTCTATAGAACGACCTCAACGTTTCTCCTCATCTCTTTACTATCTCTTCAACATTATTTAATATATGTCTATTTTCTGCTGTCTCTTGAATGAAAGTTAACGTTTCTCTGTACCATCTTATCTCTGAAATGACCCTCTACTAATCTCCACATTCTACAGTTCTGGGACGACCCTCTACATTTCTCTGAATTGTGCTATTTTTAGAACGACTCCCATGCTTCTCTAGATGTAGTGCGCTAAAGAACGATCTACTTGTTTCTCTGCTGTAGTCTCAGGAACGACAATCAACACAGAAGTAAACATTCAGCTCTGAAGACTCTGGAACGACAAAGACAACAGCAGTAAACAACCTGTTCTGTGACTGCAGGAACGACAACAAACACAGTAGTAACAACCCAGTTCTATAGTCTCAGTAACGACAATCAAAACAGCAGAAAAAACCCAGTTCTATTGTCTCAGTAATGACAATCAAAACGGCAGTAAAAACCCAGTTGGATAGTTTCAGTAACAACAATCAAAACAGCAGGAAAAACCTAGTTCTGTAGGCTCAGTAACGACAATCAAAACAGCAGTAAAAACTCGGTTCTTAAGTTTCAATAACGACCATCAAAACAGCAGTAAAAACCTAGTTCTATAGTCTCAGTAAGGACAATGAAAACAGCAGTAAAAGCTCAGTTCTATAGTTTCAGGAACGACAATCAAAACATCAGTAAAACCCCAGTTCTATAGTCTCAGCAACGACAATCAAAACAGCAGTAAATAGCCAGTTTTATAACCTCAGTAACGACAGTGAACACAGCTGTAATAAAAAACAGTGCTGTAGTATCAGGAACGACATTCACCATAACATAAATACCCATAATTTATGCTCAGTCTGCTAGTTACTTGTCTATAGGAAAGCCAATGTTCAGAGATTAATGTGCGGACTGGAAAGATTAATTGATCTGGCCGGACCCCTAGCAGTAAATATGTAAATATCCCAGACGGTTCCCTGCTCCCGCTAGTCGGCGCTAACCTCAAGCACCACCGCCTCCAGCTAGCGGGCCGTGCTGCTGACGTCACCGGGTCGGGCTAACGATGCGTTAACGCAGCGGTTCTCAAACTGCATGCTGAGGCACCTCGGGGTGCGATGAGCGTATGCCAGGGGTGACACGAATATGATCAAGAAAAGTTGGCTAAAAATTGAGAAATTATTAAAGAAGATACTGAAAAATTAAACTTTATGTTGTCTTTCCTCGCTACTGTCGAAAAAAATGTATTTTTTGTTTGAGAACTGCTGTGTTAACGCATCGTTAGCCCAGCCCGGTGACGTCAGCAGTATGGCCAATCAGCTAGAGACGGTCATGCCTCAAGGGTGGGACCAGTTACTAGAGTGTCTCTGATGTCCGAGGTGGTCACTCCGAGAAATTAGAACAGCCATTTTTGAACCTCTTATCTACCACAAGATGCTCATAGCCTTTTCATGTTAAGTGTCCAATGAAGCGACCTGATTTTATTCCATACAGCTAGTCGCTGGTTAACAGTGTCATTCACAGCTTGAACTTCGTAGCTCTGGCGACGAACTCCAATGGAACTTAGTCAGATTGCTCCTACGAAACCACGTCCTTCAGTTAGTAAAACAAACGTTTTAATCACGCAGACACGCAGACATCTCATGCGTATGTTACTGTGTTACATTACATTTGTGTGTTTTTGCTTTGTAGACGTGTGTCTTTTCTTCTTTAATTACGTCACTGTCTGTCACATATTTGTCTCTATATCACTTTAGGACACCGGTTTTTCTATACTACTGTGTCATTAAATTGTATACGTTACTATGTGTCAAGGATGTGTCTATGAGAGGGCGAATCATGGATTAGTTTTCATCCAACGTTACTGTACACCTTTGCTTTGTCTATGTTACTATGTGTCATTCAATGAAACGTATATTGTGTTTGTAAAATAAGAAAAAGCTTTTGATAGACAGAAACAAACTATGGGCTTTTCTTGACGATTATGGGATACAATGACAGTTGCTAGATAACATCGTGGCCATGTACCACACTTTCCAAAGCGTAGTGAGAATACAAGAAAGCAGTCCTGATATGTTTACAATCAATATAGTGTTGAGACAGGAATGCGTGCTCTCTCCTCTCTTATTTACATTATACATAGACATAATATCAAAAGAATCCAGATTTAAGGCAGTCAATTCAGAAAATCCAGAAGATGAGGAAGTTTACTTTGCAGAGGAAGAATTAGATCCACACTTATTAGTGTGCCAGAACATTTGAACAGGCTAATCAGATATAACAATTTCTTTTTAAATATAAGACAGAGAGGGGAAGGAGAAGGAAAAAAAAAAAAAGACATTCAACAGAATGGAAAAATCAATGACATACACCCTCTTGAAGAAGACAAATTTACAACTGGCTGTGTTTTTATTTCTCAGAGTGGTTGTGTCTGATGCTAGAAGTACTCAGATAATAGGTCACATCCTTAACGTCTTCACCAGTGATTCCCCAACTGTGCGCTGTGGCGCCCCGGGAGCCGCGACCTCTTCACAGGGACGCTGCGTATTCGTAGATACACGAGTTTTATTTGTTCTGATCTCTTACAGACGAAGTCATACGTTTACTTAGTTTAGGGCACCGTGGAAAATTTTAATTAAAAAAAAAAGGCGCCACGACTAAGAAAAGTGTGGGAAACACTGGTCTACACCATCAGTCGGTCGACGAGGGACCACGGAACCGTCTGGAAGATTTACATATTTACTACTAGCGTACAGACCTGGTGAACTAATCACTCCAGTCCGCGCATTAATCTCTGAACATTGGCTTCCGTTTATTGACGTGGTGTTGGTAAGTAACGGGTAGACTGGTCATAGATTCTCAATAATTATTGTTGAGGTGATTGTAGTTCTGGAGATAACTTTTTCGACAGAAGCTTAGGCAGGTCGTCCTAGCGATATCATCATTTAGAGAAAATGGAAGATCTTTCTAGAGACAGTGGAATATAGAGATGGGTGGGGCATCGATCTAGAGACAATATAAACTATGTAAACTTAGAAGGTCACTCTAGAGACAACATGATCTATGGAAATGTTGTTGGTCATTCTTCTTCTTCTGTGTTTTTCTATCCCCCAAATGGAGCATAGGCCCTCAACCAACTCAGGCCAAGTCGGTTTATCTTTAGCCGTTACATGGAACTCTCCCCATGTCATCCCCATCTTTCTAACTTCCTTCTCCAGCTCTCTTCTCCGTGTGTTTTTTGGCCCTCCTATATTCCTATGCCCCTGTGGGTTCCAATGCAAAGACATTCTAGTTATGCTGTTCTCCTGTTTTCTCAGTGTGTGTCCTATCCAACGTCAGCGTCTTTTCCTCACCTTTTGGTCAACTGGAGCCTTAGTTCTCTCCCAAAGTTCTACGTTAGCTATTATATCATATCATTAAATTCCCTCTATTCTGCGAAGGCACCAGTTAATGAATGTCTGTAATTTATTTGTAATTGCCTTAGTTGTTCTCCATGTTTTCGCCCCATACAGGTCATTCTAGTGGCCCAAAAAACAAATATATAGAGAAACGTGATAGGTCGCTCT